GGGGCGGGGTGGGGCGGACAGACGAGCCGAGGTCGGGATGTTGAGACCAGACCCGATGCGAGCCGACCGAGGTGCACGTTGGGGCGACATAGTAATTACCCTCACGGGATGACTGTGACGCGTGACCCTGGCATCGGTTCGGCGTGCAGAGCGGCGCTGCGAGAGGCGGTGAAAAGTATAAAGTATACGGTATGTAATCCAATAGTCTGGTCCCCCCGCCCCGCCCCGCCGGTGTCGGTCTGCTGCGTGCGATGCTGCGCTGCGGTGCTGCGTCTGTCGTCGTCGTCTTCGCCGTCGTCGTCGCGGTGGGAAACGGATGGGAAAGTTCAAGAACCCCTTCCACCCCTGCTGCAGTCCCACCGACCTTCACTCCGCGATGGCGATGCGCTGCTCCCTCCACCCGCCTGCCTCTGGTGGGGAGCGCGGCGGCTAGCTCGGCGGCCAGGCTCTAGCGCCTGCACGGGCCGGGGCGGGCAGCCCCGCCACGCACCCCCGCCCGGCGCGGTGGCCTAGCCGCGGGTTGACAGGCTGACGGGGAACTAGCCGTGCGCCGGCGGCGTGGGCGCGATTTGTTCGATGTTGCCTCGGATGTTGCTCCACGATTGTTCGTTCACCATTGCGTTTTTGTGTTTCTCTTTCTCCTGATCAGAGACCGCAAGAGATGATGATTCCCGTCCCCGCCGCCACATCACCGCTGCAGCGCGCGCTCCTCTTGCTGCTGCTGGCGCTCCTGCTCCTCGGGCAAGGCGCCGGCGGCGTGCCGGAAGCCGCCAAGGACGACGCCAAGGTGCTCGTCAGGGACGGCGGCGGCGCCTCGTTCGGGGGCCTGTCGGGGCTGACCGGGCTGCCGGCCGAGCTGTCCGCCCTGCTCAAGAGGCGGAGCAGCAGCGCCCAGCACGAGCGCGGGCAGGGGCCGCCGCCCCCGCTCGGACCCACCACGCTCGACCCCAACGAGTACATCAAGCCGCCCGTGTTTCCGGAAGGTGAGCAGGCAGCAGACCCCCGTGACTTCAGGCCCGGGTTGGGTTCGCCC